ATATAAGAAGTTTAAACTAATATGGTTTAAAATGCATGATTTCAGTGCAATAAACATGATAAATCAGAACCAAAACAGATGTTTTTAGCAGGTACGAGCTGTAATGACGCAGCTCTATTCTGGAAAAGGGGGCGGGGAGCAGCAGCTCATTTGCATTTAAAGAGACAGGTACGAAAACAGCGTGTTTCTGCTTCCACTCAAAATAGTCATTTTCAAAATGTTATAATAAATGTTCTGTGGGGTATTTTGAGTTGAAGCTTCACAGACGCATTCTGGGGACACCAGAGACTTAGATTACATATTGTAAAAAGGGGCATAATCTCCTTTAAAGGGTTAGTTCACCAAAAAATGAAAATTCTGTCATTAATTACTCACCCTCATGTCGTTCCAAACCCGTAAGGCCTTCGATCATCTTCGAAACACAAATTAAAATATTTTTGATGAAATCCGAGAGCTCTCTGACCCTCCATAGACAACAACGCAACTGCAACGTTCCAAGGTCCAGAAATGTAGCAAGGTCATCGTTAAAATAATCCATGTGACATCAGTGGTTCAACCGTAATTTTACGAAGCTAGGAGAATACTTTTTGTGCGCAAATTTTGGAGAGTACCCCAGAATGTAATCGCGCGCATGCTGAACGTAAAAAGCGCTGATTACGTTCTGGGTTACTCTCCAAAATTTGCGCACAAAAAGTATTCTCCTAGCTTCGTAAAATTACGGTTGAACCACTGATGTCACATGGATTATTTTAACGATGACCTTGCTACATTTCTTGACCTGGGAACGTTGCAGTTGCGTTGTTGTCTATGGAGGGTCAGAGAGCTCTCAGTTTTTATCAAAAATATCTTAATTCGTGTTCCGAAGATGAACGGAGGTCTTTGGAACGACATGAGGGTGAGTAATTAATAACAGAATTTTGATTTTTGGGTGAACTAATCCTTTAACTGTGATATTATTAGGGCTGCCATCGACTAAAGATTTTTCTGGTCGACTATAGTGCTGCAACGATAAATCGATGCAGAATCAATTCGTGGATGGATTCTGATATCTTCCGAATGCATCGCAATTCTCCCTGGAATCGATTCTGAGCTTAGATTTTAACAGCAGATGGCGCTCTACTCTAGTTTTTATCAGCACACTCAAATGCTCATTTCACCTCGGCTCAGAATGCTTTTATGACGCCAGATTGATGTAAACAGCCCACTGTGAACACCCTTGTAATTCACTTCAACCTTTTCGAATTTTATGAATGATTATTTTAGGTTCAAGTGTGTGTAAGGATTTGGAAACGAGCAGAGTACAGCTGTTTCTGAAGCATACAGCGCCATCTGCTGTTCAAAACTAAGCTCAGAATCGACTCGAGAAAGAATCGCCATGCATTCGGAAAATCTCAGAATCGATGCTGAATCATTTCTCGATTTGCGATGCATCTAATTATTTTCCAAGCCCTAGTCGACTAGTAGTCCTTTATTTTAAGCATTAGTCGACTAATCACACATTTATTAATAAACCATTTAAATCTTAATAATGAGCCTTTAACTGCCTACATAATAAGCGCTCCAGTGCATACATAAAGCTTGCCACAGCGCACCAGCAAAAGTAATGATTATGAATTTGTCAGGGTAAAACAGTAAGGAGGCTGCATTAACATTTTAATGATTCATTGATAAACCAGTGCTGTCTTTGTTTTCATATTAAGAGATGAAGTCGGCGACACTGGCTCGTCATCTCCACAGGATGCGCCTGTATGCATGTTTCATACGGATTACATGATCTGAGAATATTTGGTTCATCTAGGTTCATTTGAAAGTAGACATTTCGCTCTCAATAGATATGTTTTTATGTCTGTAAGGCAAGTATACACAGAGTTTTGGAGTTTTGCGTTCAAGTTCACAGAGACCGAGACGGCAGAAAGCGCATCCTGTTTGCTTTCATTATTTTACAAAAGCGCAATGTTTTGTTGTTATTGTGAATGCACACAAATAAACATAGAGTCTTTACAGATTTGAAAGATGTATTACTCTTATTATTATTACTGTTCAGCTTCCACTCCACACAGACACTTAAACAGCGCATATTTCTCTAGGTTAACATTAGATTGAACGGACATGTAAAGTTGCTACTACTAACATATTTCAGATGATAAGCCATATTTGAGGATGATGAATGATAGGCGAGCGTTTGGATGTCCTAATAAAATTACAATTTTGGTCGACCAAGCCTCTTCTCGTTGACTAACAGTTAGTCGACTATTAGGGGCAAAATAATATTTTGAATATTCGTTCTGCCTTGTTTACATTTACCTTTCAGAGAAAAAGATTATGGAAACTTACTTCGGGATGCATGATATTATCAGAACGTCATCGGAATCGGCTGATAAAGGCTTAAAATATAAACATCGGACAATATGAAAAATTATGCCGTTATGCCTTGCCGATAAGACCTACTTGTAATAAAATTAAAAGTAAAATAAATAACATTAAGATACTTGCATTTCTGTATAAATAAAGCCATAACTCATGTCATAAAACCATGCGCGTGTTTTAATTTAAAGGTCAGAAGCTATAGCTTACATTAATTAAAAAAATCACAAACATGACGGTTGTAAATTAAATAGTTTTATATATAGATTTATTCTTCAATGTGTAATATATTTTTTCAAGCGCATTATGAAAACTTAAATACAAGGAGTTCTAAAATATATTTAGAATTTTTACAGCTCTTTTGCTTTGGACTATCTACAAATGTTAAATCTACAAATAAAATGTTAAGGTTGTAACTGCATCTGTCCAAAAAAAAAAAAAATCGGAAGTAATTGGTTGATTTTTATTACAGTAATTTTCAAAGCTTCCAATGTACTCTCATTATAAAAATAACTTTATTAATAGTTTTTTAGTTCTAACAAGTACGTTTTTGCTCAAAGCTAACCAAAATTAAAAATTATTTGTTTATAATCTCTACACAGGAGAGACTTGGTGTTGTTTCCAAAAAAAAAAAGGAAATATATATTGGCATGGGCAAGTGGCCAAAATGAATTGAAAAATAATCGGCAAAAATCCAAAATTGTGCATTCCTAAACATATTTCAACATTAAATTGGAATATGAAATTCTATACACAAAATACTAGAAATAATAGCATGAATAGCATTTAATGATGAACCCAAACAATGAGTTTAATTCTTTGTAATTATGCAAGGATGTACATTATTCAAAAGTCTGGGGTCAGTAAGATGTTTTTTTGTAAGAAATGAATACTTTTATTCATCAAGGACACATTAAATTGATCAAAAGTGACAGTAAAGACATTTATAATGTTACAAACCATTTCTATTTCAAATAAATGCTTTTCTTTTGAACTTTTTTATTCATCTGTGAATCCAGCAAAATAAAATGCATCACAGTTTCCACAGAAATATTGTGCAGCACAACTGTTTTCAACATTGATAATAATCAGAAATGTTTCTTGAGCAGCAAATCAGCATATTATACTGATTTCTGAAGATCATGTGACACTGAAGACTGGAGGAATGATGCTGAAAATACAGCTGCGCATCACAGAAATACATTACAGTTTAACAGATCAACATTGATAATAATCAGAAATGTTTCTTGAGCAGCAAATCAGCATATTATACTGATTTCTGAAGATCATGTGACACTGAAGACTGGAGGAATGATGCTGAAAATACAGCTGCGCATCACAGAAATAAATTACAGCTTAACACATATTCACATAGAAAACAGCTGTTTTAAATTCTAATAATATTTCAAAATTTTTTAAGTATTTTTGAGCAAATAAATGCAGAAGAGACTTATTTCAAAAACACTTAAATTTACAGTTTAACAGATAGTCATATAGAAAATAGAGAGCTATGATATAGACAGCTATAATAATATTTCACAATTTAATAATACATTTTACTGTATTTTTGATCAAATAAATGCAGCCTTGGTGAGCAGAAGAGACTAATATAAAAAAATAAAAAATAAAAAATAAAAAATTCACACTGACCCCAAACCTTTCTTTAAATGGTAAAACATCTTCTACCTGAGTGGCTTCTTCTTCTACGGTCTTCTTTAGCATCATGACATCTTCAATGATCGGCCCATCTGTCTCCATGTCCATCGGACTGCTGAGGCTGCTGGAGTCGATGTACATCAGAAACTAAAGCAGAAAAAGTCATTATCAAAACCTCTGAAATACTACTGAATACATGCAACTAGTGCTGGGCGGTATACCGGTTCATACCGAATACCGGTGTTTATTTTTGTTATGATATGAATTTTTAAAATACCGCAATACCGGTGTATGTCGCTTAAACAACGTTCGGAACGCGACACTGTTTGAAAGGGGTCCCTTTTCACTGTTGCACTGTGGCAGAGGTGTCAAGTAACAACCATTTTAAATAAAGACAATGCACATTAGTTTCCAATAACAATAGCAGTTAAGCACGTCAACTGCCAAAAAAAGAAATTTAGATTTGTTTGTAAAATAAAAATGTAAATAGAAATGCACAACCATTGTAAGTGTATTACCATTAAAGGGTTAGCTGACCTCATACGTCATCCGCCCGGAGCTGCTTCTGTTTACAACAGTGAGCGCAAGTTTGAGCTTCTACTGAACCTGGAATATATTCATCTTAATACATGACAGAAATGCTGTGCTATTTGCAGCTCTGAGTTCTGTCCACACGAGTAATACAGAGCCGGTTACCTGTGGGTTTGACTTGGCGAGATTCTCGATCTTTATCCACGCCTCCTCGCGCTCTTTCCACTTGGCCTTTTCTCTAATGTTCAGAGAGAAAGGAAGAGTTTAGCCAGACGAGCGTGACTCAAAGTCTGAGTGAGTGTGGGAAAGCGCTTCCTACTTGTTTTTCTCGGCTCTGAACTGCTGTGTGCAGTCGTCAAAGAGCTTCTGATTCATCTCCATGAAGAGCTTCAGAGCGTTATAGATCAGCCCATGGATCGTCCTGACGACAGGAAGAGGAAGTGACAACATCAAACAACTCTTCATCTAACAGACTGAACAGTGTAGATCAGTCAGTAGAAAAGTAAAATCATGTACTTATTATATCATGATTTTATTCTTTATAAACAACATGCACAATATCAACTATTACAGGCAGCCAGCGTAAGGACTGTAAAAGCAGAGTGATATGATTTCAATTTCATTCGATTTTATATATATATATACATACAGAAAACTGATTATGTACTGTCTTGATATTGTGCATGTTACTATAAACAACACACAAATATATATTTTGTTTTATATACACACAATGTAATGAATATTTTTACACAAATAGATATTTATGTTTGGTTAATGACAATGTTTTTGTTATATTCTGTTTCATTGTATAATAAATTTAATAATATATATTTTATATTTGTAATAAATATAAAATCATGTAATTACTTGATTTTAAAATTTCAAATCATATGTAAATATATATTTTTATATATATACAGTGGGTACGGAAAGTATTCAGACCCCCTTAAATTTTTCACTCTTTGTTATATTGCAGCCATTTGCTAAAATCATTTAAGTTAATTTTTTTTCCTCATTAATGTACACACAGCACCCCATATTGACAGAAAAAAAATTAACTTAAATGATTTTAGCAAATGGCTGCAATATAACAAAGAGTGAAAAATTTAAGGGGGTCTGAATACTTTCCGTACCCACTGTATATACTCCTAATATATATATATATATATATATATATACCCATACACTGTATTGTTGGCTATTGCTACAAATATACCCCAGCGACTTAACACTGCTTTTGTGCTGCAGGGTCACGTATGTGTGTGTGTTTTATTTGATTTGATTTATTGTTTATATATATATATATATATATATATGCACACACACACACATATATATGAAAAACTAAATTATGACTTTTTGACTCTATACATACAGTATTATACATATATCAGTCAAGCGTCATAATTTTATTTTTATTTTAATATCTAGTTTTTCCATTTTCTATGCTCTTTAATCATTATAATTAAACAGGCTGTTTCTGATATTCTACATGTTAACGAGCTTTCTTATTCTTTGCACTCTCTGTATGCGTAAAACCCCTCTGACTCACTCACTTTTTACCAAATTAGTCAATACTCTCGATAACCGGTGGAACGCTAGTCTCCCGGAATAAAGACTTGTGAACAGTGACTCACTTGTTCCAGTGGGTTTTGGAGTTTCGGTACAGCGAGGGGAACATGATGGGCAGGATCCTCGCTGCGTTATCGCTGATTAAACTCATGATGTACTCGTTATTCCAGTAGTAGAGAGCTCGCTCCGCAACCTGAGGACGACACGAATGTAATAACAGTTAGAGAGGGATTGTTTCATGAACTCGTGCTGCTTTCTGTGGGTCCAGCAGACCTGGAAATGTGGACTGGAGACGCATTTGGCCAGCTGTCTGAATAAGGGCTCCATGACTTTAACAAACTCTGACGGCTCGATGACGTCCAGAATCTCTTCCAGCTCGTTCAGAAACATCACCTCCTTTGGACTGTGAGTCTTTGGCCAGTATTTCAGAAGAGCCATCACCACCTGAAACCAAGAAAACACTCCTCAGCAACTACACCAGCGGCCAACAGCTTGGAATAATTATGATTTTTAAGTCTCTTCTGCTCACCAAAGCTGCATTTATTTGCTCAAAAATACTTTAAAAATGTAAAATAATATTACAATTTAAAACAGCTGTTTTCTATGTGAATATCTGTTAAACTGTAATTTATTTCAGTGACCAAAGCTGTATTTTCAGCATCATTACTCCAGTCTTCAGTGTCACATGATCTTCAGAAATAGATTAATAACAGTGTGTGTGTGCGTACGTGTGTGAGTGTGTGTGTGCGCTAGACTTATGCCGGTATTCGGTGATGCGATATATCACAGTATAAAAACCATTACGCCTATGGGATGTCCCCACTTTTCACAGAAACAAACCTGTGTGTGTGTGTGTGTGTGTGTGTGTGTGTAAAACTTGTTTTTGATATCCTTCATATTCTGTGTGCTGGTCAGTTCACAGCAGTGATAGAAATTAATCTATTCCAATAAGTTTACATTTATTTGTACATTTTATGGGCATTTTTACCTTTATAAAGCCTTTTTTTTTCTAAAAGTGTGCATCATCTTTTGAGTCAAATTCTTACATTTAATCAGTCAATTAGAATAATAAGACATTTGGGCTGTTACCAAACAAATGATATCAGTATCAAAATTAATCTTTGCAATCGAGGAAACACAGAAGCTGCATCCGAAGAGGCATTTAGATGTAGGCCTTTTTAAACTATTTAATTCAGCTCAGAGGGACATGAATGCATTTAACCTGCAGTTACAAATGCATAAATAATATTTTGTTATTTTAAACATGAAACATTGAATTCTGATATTTACAATTATAAAAAAAATGAAAATATACTTTAAATGTGAAATTAAAACCGCCAGCAGGTGGCAGCAAGTCACTGTTAATAAGCGAGTCGTTGCGATTGAACCGAATCATTTAAACGGTTGATTCATTCAGAAACGAAACGCTGTCATGTTGCTCAGAGACGCAAAACAGCGCTGTGGCTTTGTTTGGAATTATTTTTGTTGGCGAAATAGTGCAAAAACAGGCAATATGGTGTCTAAAACGTAAGTCTCTTAATATGATATCAGTATCAGCAAAATTCATCTTTGCAATGCAGAGGAAACACAGAAGCTGCATCTGAAGAGGTCTATTTATACTCTATTTAATTCAGCTCAGAGGGACATGAGTGCATTTAACCTGCAGTTACAAATGCATGAATAATATTTTGGTATTTTAAACATAAAACACTGAATACTGATATTTTCAATTATTTAAAAAATGAAAAGATACTTTAAATGTGAACTGAAAACCGTGTAAGAATACTGCTGGGAAGCATCGCCCAAAATAACATGCGTATGCCTTTTCAGCAGGAATAACAGAGAATAAGCATATTTTTATAAAGCAGTTAGACAGAGCACAGAAACTGAACAGCAGATGGAGCTGTAACCCACCGGCTCAGTGAGCGTGCTGTCCATCTCTAGAAACTGAACCACACAGTAAGCCAGCTGAAGAACCAGAAACAACAACAACAGTCAGTCATCATCTTCATAATGCACCTCAAACACACAGCAATCAGTAACAAATTACATATTTTATTTAAAGAAATATTTTTTTTATGATCATTAAGATTTTCCATCAAAATAGTCATTAATATAATGCATAGGGATGTTTAATTTTTTATTTAGTTGGATTTTCCTGAATGAGAATCTAATGTAATTACTTGAAAAAAAATGTGCTGTACTTTAATTCTGCATGAATTCTACAAAATCTTCATTCAGAAAAATGTGAATTACAAAAACCAAGAGTAGAACATCTGTATGTATTACAATAATGAGAATTTTGGAGAAA